AAAGAAAACACAGATAAATGTGGTAGGAACACGTTTTTGCCCATTATCGTATTTTGTCCCGTATAGTCTGATCCCTGCCAACACATTCTCTGGTTTTTAATTTTAACGATTCACTATGTTTTAATATTACATCAGTGAGATCTTCTTTTGTGTTTTCAGAGTTTCAGCGGTTTAATGGCTTAGTAGCAATAATTTTTGGGTTTTGAAGACTCTATTGATAACAAAAGTTTTTTTCGTTTCGAAAGATATCCTTTTGTCCGTCCTAATATTTTCAGTGAATGTGTCCAGTTGTATTTTTTTTTCTGCAATTATGATTCTACTCTTCATTTTGCAGAAGCGAAAGAAGTAAGGGAAAAAATTTCCTCTAATATCGTCCAAGTGAACGTCTATTAAGTTGCATCATAAAATGATGAAACGTATTGTTACGATGATCGGTAATTAAACTCGGTGTAGGTAAAACTCAACAAATTTCACAGTAATACAAAACTACACGACAAACTAGACAGCGATTATATACAGAATAATTCAGACTCGACGGGAATGGCCTTGACTAGACTCTGTTCACTCATTGACTGGACTCCACTAACTTGCTTCCGTCAGTGGTCACTATTTAAATAATCTTATGTTCCTCTGAATGGTTCGCGAACGCCGCTTCAAGGTTTTTCTGGAACCCGTCATAGAGACTTCTGGCAACCCGCTTTTCTTTATGCAAACGCCATCCAGTCGCCGTCACCGATGATGAATCACCCATAATCGTCATACATACTTGAAAGCCCTTAAGAAAACCCATAGGCGTCGTACCGGGGCGGCGTATGGGTTGATTTCGTAACAGTATTTTTAAATGCAAGTGCCTAAATAACTAGGACATGAGAGTATAATATAAAAATTTCTGGAGGAAGAGATCCCATTTATGAGAATAAATACTTTCTAGTGGTACAAGTAACAAAATGCTACAAATAAAATTCAAAAAATAGACTTCTAGCTAAAATTCCCTGGAAAAAAAAAACAACGAACAAAATTCCACCGACTTTACTCTAAATTACCTACATCAAAACAATTAATAGGAGAAATTGGAGAAAAAGGACCTTGAAAACTAGCGATTAATATCATACCCACGTGGATTCCAAAGACGGGAGGGCTTTAATATTTTCTTACAGGTTTAATAGTTTATTTCAGATCTAATTATTCTCTTGCAGGTTTAATATTTTTGCAGATTGTATTGAACATTTATTCGCGACGGTTTTTTGTTTCTATGTGATGGGGGGATTTCGGTCTACGAGGTACCTAATCGGTGAACGATTACTTTAAATAATCATGTAAATTATTTGTTGCTTGAAATTGTTGACAAAAAGTGTGCCATAATTTAACTTCATGTAACTTATTTCTTGTTTAAATTACTTGATACAGTGTGGCATAACAGAAATTTGTTAGCTTGACAGTCCAGTAATTTATTTAATCATCGTTAGAACTTGAGGAGCACAAATTTCAGATTAATGCGACCACAAAGAAAATGTCACCGCGATAATATGTTAACATTAAACTCGAGTTTGTCTCGCAAATCCTTGTAAGTTTATTCGCGTGGGGTACCTACGACCTCATGGAACGAATGGGCCGTCTGGGTTGTCGACAGTCCATGAGGAAGTGGATGATACGGACAAGTATGTAACAGTCTTACACTGTGAGGGTGGGTATGTGTTGTAACCCGAAAATCTCACAATAGCGTAAATCTAAAGAGAAGAGTAACCGTGATCCATGATTTAGACTCCCGATATAGACTTTGGTTTTGTTCATTATTTAAATTTGTCGCCATATATTTGTAATAATCAGAGAAATAAAGAGGAGTCCCTATATTTCTCTGGTAATAACTTGTGAATATCCAATTCCTTTGATTCAGTTTTCTATTTTTCTTGGTGTTTGGAATTGTGATTTTCAAATATTTACATTGATGCATAACATTTAACGTCATTGTTGAAAACTGGAGAGGATTTTTCCGTTGGGAAATAAATCTTCCTACTTAAAGGTCGGTTTGTTTCGCAATCATTGTTGTTACCTCTCCAGAATGGAGGAATAAATGATTTTTGACATCCACTGTAGTAAGCCGTTTCGAACCAAATTCCCGCGCGCCAAACTTTTGGTAAGAAAAGGGATGGGAATGGAAAGAAACGAAAATCACTAAGAGGGAGATGCGCAGAAGGGTGTGTTTGAGCAGGGTGAGTTGCGGCCATATTGACTTGGTCTTTCTTTCGAGTAAGACGTCAAGTTGGTGCTCTCTGCGTTTCCCAAGTGTCTGTGCGTTTTGTTTCCGTTTTCAGTGGTGATTCCTGTCCACGGAGTTCCATCCCCCTGACGAACCAGCGAACGTAAGATTTCTCTGCTCCATTTCGAACAGAGAGAGGCCTTATTTCGGTGGTGAACACGTGTTTGGTTTGGAGATCCAAGAGGTATATCTTCCACGTGATTCCGTGTGTGCTGGTGGAAGAAGCGGCGTTGCTTCTCGATGGTTACGGAGTAGGTGAGACGCGGGAACCACACCTGTGAGCTTCGCGGGTGTCACATACGCGAACGGACGCTACCAAAAATGGCGGCACTTCCGGATGACGCCATGGCCGATAATTTTCGTACTAATCTTTTCAACATAATTTCAATCCGTTTTAGTAGGGCCTTTCAGGGAATTACGTTAGCTAGGGCAGTTTTATTTAGCGAATGTTATGCGGAAAGTTGGGTGGCAATTTTCGAGGTATTATTTTGGGTTGCATAATTTCAGCACGTGTGAGTAAAGTAAATTCAAACGTAATCTGAACAAATGAATCTTTAACAAAAATTAACGCTGAGAACGGCATTCGAAAATTAATAATGTCAGAGTCTGGGGGACGGGGGATTTCTTTGTGTTAGTAACATCAATTAATTAGGCACATCAATTTGGCTGACATTATAAGATCTAAGATATTTGAATGGCTTTTCCTCGATTTATTATCCGGTTGTTGTAAACTCTAATGCTGGAAAATTTCATGTAGTTTTTCAAATATTCAGCCGTTCAAAATAGAAAGAGAAAGTGGTAGGGTGCAGGTACGGGGTGTTGACCGGGGAATTTCAAGGGCAACCTTTGTGAATTTTTGTATTAGTCATTGGGGATTTGTTGTTGACCGAAAACTGTTGATGAATTTGAAAATGAATGTTATTGAAAGAAAGGTACAATTCAAATCGAATGTGCACCTACGATTACCTATATTTTATTTATTTTGCATATTTTATGTGTCGCATTTTTATGTGTTGTTCTGTTTATTTCGTATGTGTTTTTATTTATGTGTCTTTTGTTTGGGGATGTGTTGAAGGGAGGGGGGTTTGTTTGTTTAATTCGGTCAACAACGTAACTTTGCCCAGATCATTTTAATGCAGTCGTAACTTCGTTGTTTAATGTCAGATAAATATTTCATTAAAATCATTGCCAAAATGTGAATAATTTAATCTCTTTCAAAATTCTTGTTCTTTAAAGTTATTGATAAAAACATGAATAATTTCTCACTTCATTTTCTTTATTGCATAAGATTGTTGATCACACGTGCATAATTTAATCTCATTTAAATTTCTTTGTTATTTAAAACAAGTGTTGATGGAGTGTGGCCAATTAAATTACGCTTATTGCTTGTCTGAAATCCAAATACTCATTTTGATAACGCTAGTTAACTCGGGGGTCGTGTGGCGTGGACGCGGTGGCGTCGGCGTCTCCGTGCGAGTGTCTGCGGGTCTTGCTAGACTTCCGGCCCTAGCGGACTCGGAGTTTTACCGAATTACCTTGTACGCGGGAAACAGGAAGGTCAACCTATGTCAGGTGGGTGCGTAAGACCACGCGCGTGAAGTGGTGAGGTAGGACTATGTGGACCTTCACGGGGTGTGTGGCCTTCGCCCTGCGCTCGCTGCGCGCCCCCATTTTGTTTGTAGAGGCCACACTACCGTAATATCTGGGACGTTGCCACCCATTTACTTTCTGAGAATTCCGCGACTTTTTATTTTGCTTTTTTTGTTGTACTTGTAAGGTTGCTAATATTTATTCTATGTTCTCAGGTTCGAGTGAAAATAAAGGTTTTTTTTTCTCTGAGGAATAAATTCTTTAAGCTCTTCTGGGGCCCTTGGCCAAGGTCTCTTGAGCTCTTATTGGATTTATTTTTCATAGTTTTTTTTTCCAAATACATATAAGTTTTTTTAAATCCGTCACTCTTCCCGCTCCGCAGTGCGCCAATTTGTATGAACGAACGCCTCCCGCCAGTTTTCAAAACACAATGTAGGGTCCCACTTTTGTAGACGATCACAGCCAAGGTCAAATTTTAAATTTTAGCGGGCTTTTTCAAATTTTGTTCAATGCCAAATAAAAGGCGGGAGGTTTGGGTTATTACACCACATTTTGTGTTTGATTTAGACGCGCTTTTCCAACCTTGGGGTTTATCACTTTGTATTTGAACGCATTCCGCCATAAAAAAAAAAACAACATAGAGTCTCACCTTGGTTGACGATCACAGTTCACGTGTCTGATTTTGACGGAATATTTGGGGTAACACATTATAATGTTACAAAACATACCATGTTAAGTCTTAAAAATCCATTCTGAATTTTTCGGAGCTACCTATATATTTTGTAAAAAGTTTTACCAAGCTTAAGTTAGGGAAGTATTGTAATACGATGTATATGACGAATGGCTACTTCCATGTTTTTTCAACATTTCATCGCTTCTAGAATAGGAAAAGGTAGGACCCTGTTTTCCCTCTGTCCGAATCCAGAACTACTACACTGATTGTCATCAAACTGTAATTGGAGGATTCGTCTAGAGAGTAAAATGCTGACTAAAATTTATCTGATTATTATCAACATCAAAAATTTTGATGGGGAATGAGGTAAAAACTAGTCTGCATTATTTTTTACAAAATTTATTCTAAAACAATCTATCATAAATCATCTTAAACTTTCTGTAAATACATGTCATGCGGATATTATATAAATCTGTATTAAAAGACACTTGATACAAATATTATTTCAATATAAAAATACAATTTTCTTAAAATTTTTGGTTTTACTTTTTCAAGCCTATTAAAAAAAAAAGAGGATGAATTTAATAGATTGTCTGCAATCAATTTAAATTATATATAAATTAATACATTAATAAAACTGCATGATATAAACTGTAAAATTTTTCTCCTTCAAATAAGCTTTTCAAAAGGTACATTGCACAAAGTAATTACGAGATCACAATATCGTGCTGAAAACAATAATATGCGGACGCTATAAAGGCAGAGAGCAAAATGTATACTATGACTATAATAAAATTTGGTATGATGTCTTGACACAAGTTTGTACTTTAATTGTCATTGATATTAACCAACTTTTACAACAGTATGGCGCATATTAAAAAAAACTCACACACTGAAGGACAAAACTAAAATAACTACGTAAAACTACCCAGTAACTTACATTTAAGGTGATGCGATTTATGAAATTTTCAATTTCTTTTCCACTCAGATATTTTTATGGAAAACAAGAACTATTTGCTTACCAGCTTTTCCAAACAATATTACCAAAAAAATTCTTATCGTCCATAAAAACGATGCGTAAATATTACACACAAAATTCTGATTAGACCATGCATCACTTGAGACTTTATTTCTTTCGAGATTAAAAATACTCCCAATTATGGGTGTTCAGAGAAAAAGGTGCTTTTTATGTAGCCACACCTTAATAAAATCATATAAATTGTGATAAAAGCAAACGTCATAAGCATCATTAAATAAAAAAAGTTCTGAACACAACTTTGATCAGGCAAATATTAGATTAACAGAAAAAATGTTATATACATAAAACATTCCAGAGCACATGTAAAACTAATACAGAAGCTAATAAACTTTTGGTAACAGTACGTATTTTACTTTGTTGCAGTACCTGTCCCACGCCGCTCCGTATTTTTCTTTGCATCTTACGTTATCTCTGACTGAACGATGAATAAGAAATAGCGTAATTAAAATCGAGCATATGACTGGTGGTACATCAGGTGCAAAAGGTATAAAACAGAGGTTCATTAAAATATCGCCCACGTAATTGGGGTGGCGCACAACACCCCAAAATCCAGAACAAATCAGTTTTTTCCCTTTGGTTGTTGGTATAGTTTCCAGATCTAAAATTATTCATATAAACATAAAACACCTGCTGCTTTTTTTTGGTATACTTACGTGATAAAGCAGGGTTATACGGATTTTTTCTGAAAGCGTCTTTTTGATTGTTACTTCCTCTAAATATTATATATCCGAAAATAAACACAACAGAAATTAAAATCAATCTCCAAATAGGTAGATTGATGTTGTAATCAGATACGTATTTTGTAACAGCAGACATAAAAAAGGGATAAATCAGATAACCAAGTCCTGACATGTACCCAAAACCTTCATACTGGATCTCAAAAGAAGTTACAAATGCAGGTTCATGAATTAAAACGTCCAAATAGTAAACTGTGTGTAAAAATACAAGAACAAACAACGTTACGTTGATATTCAATGACTTTAAATCAAAAGCATTTGGAGAGAATGATGTCCAATTTACGCTTCTATACAAATATGCAAAATCCAGAAGTATTGCTCCTATGAAGGCCAATCGTAACGAATACATTTTTAAATCCAGTAAACCAAATGCTCGCGGATTCAGTTCCCTGCCCATAAAAAATCCATATATTTTATTTCTGCCAACAACGTGTGCATTAAGTGATATGAAAGACACATAAAAACTTCGTATGTATGCATATATAGAAAGTAATACCCCAAACAACATAGATGCAATTAACAGATGAAACAAATGTTTAACAATAAATTCACTTATTGATATACTTCTCAATTTCAATAGTACTGCAATGGTTGTTATAACAAAACACGAGAAAAGTCCATTCATAACATAAGTAAACTTTCCCTGCTTTGTAGGCATTCCTGACAATTGTTTACCACCAAAAGGTATAACAGAAAGGAGAGCCAAAAGTACAACATAACCAATAAAACCCAATATTGAAAACAAATCAAAATAAGTTGATGGCAATAAATACTTCCTATAATCCGGAACTTTAACAAACGAGCACTGGTTCTCATTACAAACTGCGTAAAGAGCAATAGCGCTAACAGGAGCTACAATAGTATAAAATAAGGCACCCCATGGACCTCCAAATTCAGTGATCTGTTTAAATTCACCACCTCTCTCAACAGACACTGACTTTCTAAACTCAACAGTTTCATCTTCATCAGAAAATTCCCCCAATTTTTGGGCCACATTATCAAAATGCTTTAAATGCACAACTCTTTCAACTTCACGATTTTGTGAATTCTGAGTAACGCTCTTAGTTACGCGCTTGATCAGATTAAATGTTCTTGGTTCAACTGTCTCGGAAGAAGCAAGTTTCATCTGAAATAACTGATTCAAGCATCTATCAACGTTTACATCAACATACCTTCTCCACTTGAATTTCCAGTCGCCGGGCCCGCCCTTTAACCGCAGCTTGTGGTTTTTCAGATAACCCCAGTAATTCTCCATCAGGAGTATCAGAATCTGATTCAATATCTAATCGAGTTCTTCTTGGCCTCTGTACTCGTTCAGTGAAATAAGTTTCCGCACTTTTTGTAATTTTAGTTGCTCTCGTTGGGGATTTCCTACTAGGACTTTTCCTGATAGGACTACGAGCTTTGGGCACTGCAATTTTGGGCGTAGACGATCGCAAAGGAGGCGGGGAGACGTCTTTTTTGGTTCTTGACGGGCTCTTTCTTGACGGACTTCTTGTTCTGGCTGGACTTCTGGTCCTTGCTGGACTTCTTGTCCTTCCAGGGCTATTTGATCGTCCAGGGCTTTTTGAGGTTGTTCCTTTTACTTTCGACGACGCTGATGTCTCAGACGTTTCGGTTTTTACTGGAACTTGATTTTTGGCAGCTCCTTTCGACTTATTAAGTACCATTTTTATATCTAAAGGAAACAAAAGTGTAAGGTTAGATACCACGCGCCAAAAATTTTCACAGGTTGAGAACGTTATTGACGTTAAACAAAATAGTTCTTTGTTAATCTACCTTTAAATGAATTCCTTTTCGCGTAAAATATATGACACTTTTAACTGTAAAAATGAATTTTAATATTGTTTACACTTAAAGGACGCCGTCACAGACCGACGCGACGCTTGCTCGATTACAAAACAAGCTTCTATTCGAAATAAACTTTCTGATTGGTTCGTTGTGAAATGTCAGTACAAGGAAAATTTTAAGGGGTTTAGCAACGATTTACAAATTACAAACATAAAATATCATGTAGCAATAGACATCTTTTAACTCTAATTTTAAAAAAAGTTACATAACGTTCCCTAAAACTCGTTCAATTTACAGTTAAATTCCAAAGAATTGCGACGTTGCCAGTGTATACAACCGGGAAGCATCACGATCTTTTTCCACAAATACGTTATTACACAGTAAACAAACTAAAAACATGACTCAAGTGTAAACTAATTAATAAAAGTTTTTCATGATCTTCCTAAAAACAACCCTCTTTCATTTTAATAACAGAAGAGGTGGCAACATCTGTCGTTCACTATTGTCAAAATCTGTAAGATATGGCGACATTTTTCAGGTAAATATTTTCAGAAAATTGCTACATTCTGACAATGAACAGCCAGTTTTCACTTGTTGTTTAATAAATACTTTATTTATAAAGTCTGAAAACATCCATTCATACATAAAACTAATGGTAGTATTATATAACTTGTAGGTTAGGTAGCCGCCAGGTCCTCAATCATTTCCTGAGAAATGAAAAAGTGGGCATGTTATCGCTTGTTCGGCCCGTGACTCTAAAGGCTCAACCCGCTTGTCCGCCGAAAGAAATGGGTCATGATGAGCGTAATATGAAATTAGGAAGGCCCCAGTCTCCACACTTGACAATCTATGCTCCACAATTAACTAGTATGTTATCGATTTCCCATAGAGCTACAGGGATGATTTTGGCTGGGTACACCATAATGTGGGGTTTAGGAGCGGTAGTTTTGCCTGACAGCATTCCCTGCTATCTGGAAGATTTAGCTGCTGCCAATGTTAGCAGTATTCTTTTGTGTGGGACGAAGTTTATGTTAGCTTTTCCTATGACTTACCACTTCTGGAATGGTATCAGACATCTTATGTGGGATATGGGGTTATTCCTCACCTTGAAAGAAGTGTATGCAACTGGATATGTGATGTTGATTTTGGCTTTGGGATCTGCTATTGCTCTTGTCTCAATGTAGATGTAGATGTATATTTTGTTTTATTGTAAATTATTGTATTTTGAACGAACGGTATTCAAAAGAACTTAATAAATTATTTGTTTATTAAAATATATAAATCAGTTATAATAGTTAACACGTTTATCTTCTGTCTGTTCTTGACTGACCGCCAAAAAAAACTGACCCCCTTGACACATTTCGCAAAATCGCTTTAAAAATTATAGATTTAAGTAGCGATTGTTATTTTATTTAACGAACTAGTCGCTGTTGATAGAATGTAGAAATTAATTTAAAAAAAGACAAATATATTCACTAGTTTAAATATAAAAGTGGTCTTGCGAAATATTTCAGGGTGACCGTTTTTTTCGGTCAGTGTATATGCACAGGGTGATTTCGAAATATGTGCAATCATTGTAACCACGGCATCACACACTTTAATAATATGGAAGCATAGAAAAACCAAATTAAAAGTCGAATAGGGCAAACCCCCCCATGCACCACTGATCTACCTTTTAAACAGTAGATGGAAAAAACGTTTGAATAAAAACGATGTAAACACTTTCATCAGTTTCAATTAAAAGTAAAACAGATTTTTTCGGTCATTCATGTATTCATTTTCATTTATTCATTGTTAAAGGTGAGTGCGAAAGATTATTAGTTGTAGAAACAAATGGTGGTCCTGAGAAGGACCGATTTTTGGTGATGTTTCATGGTGATCGACTTTTTATTCTGACGAATGTTTAGTCCTTGCCACAACGATTCCGCATTGTTTATTAGAACAAAAATAAGAGCAACTTAGAATGCTAGGTACTATCTTTTTACAATAGATGTTGGAAATGTTAACCTCGGCTAGCAATACAGGCTTTAGCACGTTCTTGTACTATGGTCACAACATTTTTCACGAATACCTAAAAAAAACTCCGAGAGTTTCACGAACTGTAGCGGTTATCACTTCCACTCGTTGAAGCTCTTCGATAGTTTCTGGACACTGTTGATTTTCATAAACTAACTGTTTCATGAAATCATGAATATACCTAAACCGGCCCACACATTTATAGCAAACCGTCATTGAAATCGTACTTCTTGACGAGCGTATGGATTTTCATCGGACCAAAAGTGAGTGTTGTGGCTGTTGAAAACAGTATTTCGAGTGAATCCTGCTTCATCCGTAAACAGAATGCAAACTACATGACGTCGAAAATCAGCGGGCTCCAAAGCTTGTACTTTTTGAACGTGGTATGGATGTAGGTCTTGTTCTTTTAATGTATGATACACTACAAACTGTGAAACTTCAACTTCAGCTACAAGTCGACAAGTGCTCTTCTTCGACGCGTTCCAAAATTTGTTCTTCAGCTTGCGGTATTCTTCGCAATCCACCCCAGCATTTCCATCAGCCACGCCAAAAAGCATTACCATGTCGATATGCTCTGAATTGGAAAAATTCACTATTATCAAAGACGTTCACCGCACACTCGACGGCAACCAACTGATACATGACTGATCCTTATTGTGTTTTTGCACGTTGCTTATCAATGTGCCGCTTTTTTTAGTTCCTAATTCTAGTCGTTCTGCGCCATTCCTTGAATAGTAGTGTAATAACCCAAACTTCCCGCCTCTAAATTGACCTTGAAAAAAAAATTGAAAGGCGCGCGAAAAATTTAAATATTCAAAGTTTGGCCTTGGCTGTAATCGTCTAATAAATAGGAACCTACGTTGTGTGTTTTTTTTTGTTTTGTTTTTGAAAAATGGCGGGAAGACGTTCTTTCATACAAGTGAGCATATACTGCATGTGAGTTGAGAGCGTAAGAAATAATAGACAAAATTAGGGAGGTCGAAATCCTTCCTTAGGATGAAAAGAAACGAAGAGCAACAGTGACTCAGCGTGCCCTTCTGGTGACTCCGCAGGGCCACGGCGTCATCGGTCTTCATTCCCAAAACCCCCCTGGCGTTTTATTCACCGAAATATTACATTTCAAACACCTTAAGACATATGAAAGAAAACACTCGCGAATTGACAGACCTATACATATGGAAAACAAACAAACGGAAAATTCTATACATCTGTTTGGAATCAATGTAAATATTTGAGTATCACAAATTTAATAAAAACAAAGCAAAATCTGAATTAAGTAACTGGCTGCAAATACACAAGTTATTACGGGCATGTGGCGGCTAATTTTTTAAAGTTACGGCAGTTAACAGGAGCACAACAAAAGTACCCCTGGGGTGTTGTAGCATAAGCGAAGTTTGGGGCTACCGGTCTGGGGCTGTTCTCCCCCCACGACGGTGATTCTGTCTATCACAAAGCCTACCCACACGCACCCCATTTACGATCATGCTGGGCGAACTAGGCCATTACGGTCGCCAGACCCGCAAGGGATCTCGGTTATGGGCAGAAGCCGAGAACTTTACAACATCGGCGGCCGCCCCTGAATCTATCCAAACCTATGGACTTGTACAGGTGACACGATAAATCTCGCCAGCTAGACTAAGAACCGAACTTCGCTTCTGCTACGTTTTCTGTGTCATTTAACCTCAATTCCATTCTTAAATATTCAATCTCTTATTACTCTGATATTAACAACAACTGAACAAGTGTTAAAGTTTCAAAGAGCAATAAACAACATTTAAATTCGCCATACAATCTTGTGAAATTTTAAACAACACATAATTCTTATGTGAGATTAAAGTTGGACATCAAAAAGTATTTACAAAGCAGAACTCAATAAAGATTTATCAAACAGAAAATCTGATGTGTAATAAACTTGTACAAATAAAAATATTATGTGAGGATATAACCGTGGTACATGAAATTTACGTTCAATTAAAATTATACAACAAATAAAATTACTGAGGTAAAATTGTGAGATTAAAGAAATATTGTATGAGGTGGAAAATTGCAGAGTTAACAAAATTTACAGGAGATTAATAATTGCCACACTTTTTCAATGATTCAAACAAAGAGTTTACATTATGTCAAATTATATCATGATCTAAGTGATTGGTTACTTCAAAAAAAAAACAATTTACTTTGAGAGTTTAAAATACCGCGAACTGGTTACTCCAACAAAACACATAATAATCAAACACAAAAATATCCAATCATCGCTCCGAGGGAAAAAGCGTCTCGGTGATGTAAATTTTAAAATCGTTGCGAGGAAAAAGCGTCTCGGTGATGTTATCAATCTCTAGCGTCGCGAGGACGGACCTCTATCAATCTGTAGCGTTGTGAGGGCATGCCTCTATTAATTAATCAATCTGTAGCGTTGGATGGCATGCCTCGATGAATTAATAAATCTGTGGCGTTGTGAGGCATGCCCCGATGAATTAATCATGATAACGATAGTAACCGCCTAAGGGAAGAAAATACCATAATCCCCGCCAGTTCGCAGTATAATGAACTTGTTTAACTGCCGTAAATGAACTATTGGCAATCTTGTGTGAAGAATTAAGAAGTGTTATAATGTAACGCTTACGTATATGCATCCAGAAGCTTATTCGTAATGTAGTAAGCCGTTTCGAACCAAATTTCCGCGCGCCAAACTTTTGGTAAGAAAAGGGATAGAAATGGAAAGAAACAAAAACCACTAAGAGGGAGGTGCGCAGAAGGGTGTGTTGGAGAAGGGTAAGTCGCGGCCAGTTCGACTTGGTCTTTCTTTCGAGTAAGACGTCAGGTTGGTGCTCTCTGTGTTTTTTTCAAATGTCTGTGCGCTGTTTGTTTCCTGTTCTAGTGCTGGTTTCTTCTAACGGAGTTCCACCCCCCTGACGAACCAGCGAACGTAAGAATTCTCTGCTACGTTCGAACACAGAGAGGTTATTTCGGTGGTGAGCACGTATTTGGTTTGAAGATCCGAGAGGTATGTTTTCCACGTGATTCCGTGTGTGCTGGTGGAAGAAGCGGCGTTGCTTCTCGATGATTACGGAGTAGGTGAGACGCGGGAACCACACCTGTGAGCTTCGCGGGCGTCACATACGCGAACGGACGCTACCAAAAATGGCGGCACTTCCGGATGACGCCATGGCCGATAATTTTCGTACTAATCTTTTCAACATAATTTCAATCCGTTTTAGTAGGGCCTTTCAGGGAATTACGTTAGCTAGGGCAGTTTTATTTAGCGAATGTTATGCGGAAAGTTGGATGGCAATTTTCGAGTTATTATTTTGCGTTGCATAATTTGAGCACGTGTGAGTAAAGTAAATTCAAACATGATCTGAACAAGCGAATCTTTAACTAAAATTAACGCTGAGAACGGCATTAGAAAATTAATAATATTAGAGTCTGGGGGACGGGGGATTTTTTTTTCCTTTGTGTTAATAACATGGATTAATTAGGCACATCAATTTGGCTGACATTATAAGATCTAAGATATTTGAATGGCTTTTCCTCGATTTATTATCCGGTTGTTGTAAACTCTAATGCTGGAAAATTTCATGTAGTTTTTCAAATATTCAGCCGTTCAAAATAGAAAGAGAAAGTGGTAGGGTGCAGGTACGGGGTGTTGACCGGGGAATTTCAAGGGCAACCTTTGTGAATTTTTGTATTAGTCATTGGGGATTTGTTGTTGACCGAAAACTGTTGATGAATTTGAAAATGAATGTTATTGAAAGAAAGGTACAATTCAAATCGAATGTGCACCTACGATTACCTATATTTTATTTATTTTGCATATTTTATGTGTCGCATTTTTATGTGTTGTTCTGTTTATTTCGTATGTGTTTTTATTTATGTGTCTTTTGTTTGGGGATGTGTTGAAGGGAGGGGGGTTCGTTTGTTTAATTCGGTCAACAACGTAACTTTGCCCAGATCATTTTAATGCAGTCGTAACTTCTTTGTGTAAGGTCAGATAAATATTTCAATAAAATCCATAGCTTTTTTTTTCTCTTTGATAAAAGTCAACGACGTAAATGTAGCTTAATTCAATAAAATCATTGCCAAAATGTGAATAATTTAATCTCTTTCAAAAATTCTTGTTCTTTAAAGTTATTGATAAAAACATGAATAATTTCTCACTTCATTTTCTTTATTGCATAAGATTGTTGATCACACGTGCATAATTTAATCTCATTTCAATTTCTTTGTTATTTAAAACAAGTGTTGATGGAGTGTGGCCAATTAAATTACGCTTATTGCTTGTCTGAAATCCAAATACTCATTTTGATAACGCTAGTTAACTCGGGGGTCGTGTGGCGTGGACGCGGTGGCGTCGGCGTCTCCGTGCGAGTGTCTGCGGGTCTTGCTAGACTTCCGGCCCTAGCGGACTCGGAGTTTACACAGCTACTTGGACGCGGGAAACAGGAAGGTCAACCTATGTCAGGTGGGTGCGTAAGACCACGCACGTGAAGTGGTGAGGTAGGACTATGTGGACCTTCACGGGGAGTGTGGCCGTCGCCCTGCACCCGCTGTGCGTCCCCCCCCCCCCCCCATTTTGTTTGTAGAGGCCACACTGCCATAATATCTGGAACGTTGCCATCCATTTACTTTCTGAGAATTCCGCGACTTTTTATTTTGCTTTTTTTGTTGTACTTGTAAGGTTGCTAATATTTATTCTATGTTCTCAGATTCGAGTGAAAATAAAGGTTTTTTTTTTTTCTTTGAGGAATAAATTCTTTAAGCTCTTCTGGGACCCTTGGCCAAGGTCTCTTGAGCTCTTATTGGATTTATTTTTCATAGTTTTTTTTTCCAAATATAAGTTTTTTAAATCCGTCACTCTTCCCGCTCCGCAGTGCGCCAATTTGTATGAACGAACGCCTCCCGCCAGTTTTCAAAACACAATGTAGGGTCCCACTTCTGTAGACGATCACAGCCAAGGTCAAATTTTAAATTTTAGCGGGCTTTTTCAAATTTTGTTCAATGCCAAATAAAAGGCGGGAGGTTTGGGTTATTACAGTAATTAAACAATAAGGTGTTTTCCTGACTAAGTGAATTTCATGAAATCTTCTAGCAAGTGGTGTATTTAAATAATCCTGATTGTTAAATTGTGTTTGCACTAGCTCACTATTAAGAAAAACTAACTTGATTGGTGAATTTACAAACAATCAAACAAATTTACAGCACGTGTTTCGCGTTCACCGGAAGTCCGCATTTCTCAGATTAAAAGGCCGCAAGAATTAACCGCGCGGGTTGGGGCCAACTGTATCATTATGAAAGTTACGATTGATTGTCGTTAAACAAAGGCTTCCTCCCGTTTTATTAATTACCAAACCAACTAATTTAAACCTAGCGCTTACCACGTGGTTACACTCACACAAACACATTCAGAATGAATCTACGCCATGCAGTTTCTCTCTCTACCAACCAACCAACCCACCCTCTAACTAAAAACTCCCTAGCGCTACGTGCTGCCATCTAACTCAATAATCATGCCAACTAACCCCTAAGCGCTACGTATATTAAACCCGACATGCATATTTGGTTGCCTATGTTTAACGATTTCCCTTTCGTGATTGAATTTTTTTTTTTTTTCAAATTCAAATTATTCAAATGTGATTTGGCGCCGCTGTTAATTAATTTCAGCGCGAAAACTTTGATTTAAATTCGGTCACCACAGTAGTTATGGTAATTCAAGAAACACTACCAGTGCTATGTGTAACAATTTATATTTCGAAATCAGGGTGTATATAAAAATTAATGTTTATTTGTTTGTACCGTATGCATTCGTAAGCCATTCATTTGATTACAATGAAACCTTGGTGAGTTGTTCACACGTCACAAGATTTTGGAATTAATAACAATCATTTCACAATGATTTGTTCGTGTGTTTTCTGCGTCTGAATATACATATAATTTTAAAACCGTGGACAGGTAAATGTATGTGGTTCTGATGTCTGCAATTTAAAAACTGCGGCTTAAAAGTTAGGGGTATTTTAATTTAAGCCTTATATTCACTTCTTTTAAAAATTATAAAAAAATAATACTTGTCTTTCATCCATGGAGGTAGTCAACGATATCCTTAACTTTTGACGCACAGTTTATATAGCAATAAACTCTAAACTGAAGAAGTGAAGACCATGGATGCAAGAATATATTCGTCCATGCTGAAGACGTGAAGACTGAACAATCATTCATTCACAGTGCTGAATAATGGGTTGCAGAGTTTAAGGAACTAATATTTTTAAAACTTTTAAATAATTTTTCTTTTCCAGATAGTTAACCCTTTTATGGTTAAGCCTCGGTGCTCCACGCTCCACGCAATTTACAAGATTCTAAAACTAAAACTGGTCTACAAAAATGCATTCAAAAATTTAAACTTAAAATTTAAATTTTATTACTATAGATGTTAATAATAAATGAAAATTAAAATTATAGAAAAAAATGCATTAACAAATTTACGGATACAGATTTTATTACACTTTTCTCTCCACCCACGGGCCCTCCGAAATATTTATATTTGGACATGCTATATATTAAAAGAATAGTTGTACTTAGCGCCATCTAATATGTCGCTGTATAACGAATATTGACATTCGTTGATGTAATCGACAGGTGACTGTTCGTTAAACCGATTTTTTACATTATTTTTATGACGCACTGTCAAAAATGTGAATAGAATATAAATAACATATATTCCTAGTTTTTCAAAGGTGCAACATTTTCACTTCCACAATTCGAATATTACAGGTATTTTAAAATTTTTACAATAGCAGTCATTTGTCTACCATGTGGAATGTAATACGACTCCGCTTCCAATAACACAACCATTCTTTATCAACAAAACATTTAAAAGCACTTATTCAAGCCCATATAAATACCATATATAGATTGTTACAAGTGAATTTATAAAATAAACAAAATTGTTTCTTTTTAGAGTAACCCAAGATGCCATTCAAGTTGAAACTGAAGAAATCAAGGCACTACAGTGTAGCCTCCAAGTCACTCTTTGTAATATCTGTGGAAATGCTGGATGGCACTAACGTTGAATGCACGTTATCATCAGAAAGTACCGGACAAGACTGCCTTGATGTTGTATGTCAAAAGTTAGGACTTAACCAACCAAATTTCTTTGGTTTACAATATTCGAGTAGAAATTCAGACAATGCTTTCTACTGGGTAGAATTAGATCGCCCCATTAAACGACAACTTGACAAATACGCCAGAAATCTATATGTTTATCTCAGAGTGATGTATTACATTATTTCAGGCGTTCGTCTAATTAATGACGAAGTGACAAGGTTTGTTGTTTTATCAATTTTCACACAACTAGTTAATTATATTCTTCAGGTATCATTACTTCCTTCAATTAAAAATGGACGTTATTGATGGGCGCATTTCATGCACCCCTCAGCAAGCAATAGAACTCGCCAGCTTTTCAATGCAAGCAGAATTTGGCAATTTTGATTCAGAAAGACACACTGCTCATTATCTTAAAGACTTCCAGTTATTTCCAAGGGTAAAAGTACAGTATATTGTCAACATACAACTAAAGTCAAAATTAGAGTTTTACAGATTCCGCACTGTTAGAATCTCTCACTGATGCAGCTAGTCGACAACATGCAGCTCTACACAATTTACCGCAAGGCACAGCAGAAGAATATTATATTTGTGCTTGTCAGCAGTTGGATGGTTATGGTCAAGAGATTTTTGCTGTTAAAGATAGATTAGGTGATGATGCGATTATTAGCGTTTCTTTGACAGAAGTTTCTGTGGGCTATGCAGGAGAAAAGGAAGGGAGGCGTTATGGGTACGTTATATTTTTTTTTGTTAATTGTTACTAAAAGTGCTGTTTTTTCTAGGTGGGCCGACATTAAAAACGTGATCAATCACAAACGCGATTTTACGATAGAAACCATTGATTCAGAAAAAGTCGAATTTCAGTTTGCTGATGTAGAAAGTGCTAAGAACGCTTGGAGGTTTTGCGTGTTACAACACACTTTTTATAGACAGTATGAAATGAATAATGATCAAACTGATAAGGGACCTCTTGTTCCGCCTGTTTTCCAGCAAGCTCAGATTGAGGTAAGCCTGAGAATTATCTCGAAGAATTGTATGTGGTGTAAATGTATGTAAATATGTCAAGAATCTTGTTATTCACATATCTGGGATACAAATTATGAAATTGTTTTGTTATCATTAAGTAAATTGTGAGTAACGTTCATATAATCTGACAATGGTGTTGTTGAAATAATGCTGACATTTTGCTAGAATGGGAATAATACAAAGTTAAAAAATCGATGTTTGAATACTTACGCAAAAACAACGATTAGCGGTTATAGGACAAAAATATTAATTCAGAAAAAATAATGTGCGTGCAAAATGCGTAATATTAAGTACCGTTGATTCTGGTTGATATCTAGATAAAATTTCTGACGGAGAACAAAAAAAAATGAAAATAAAAATAGCCTTAATGAGTCCAATGTGTCTAATAATAGTGAACTTATTGAACTGAGGAGGTGTTATATGGCCTGAGCCAAATGTTGAGATCCTTAATTCTTTCGAACCCCATAAACTGACAGTTTATGTATAAAATATGTGAAAGTTTTTAGAACACTGATATCAGTAATTAATTCGCTCATACTACAAGAAAATTATCTGCTTGATATAGAAAAATCAATGATTAATTTGTTAATCGTTACTATTACTTCATCTAACACTTGTTCTCTTTGTAATTGTTTTATTTACAGAGATAAAATTCCGAAATTTGGAATAATCGTGATTTTGAAATTTTTCACAAAACACTTAATTCGTCATTAAATGTTATCAGTGAGTAACAATATTCTGTGGAAAACGTGCGTTTATGACGCGTGGGGAATGATAAAAAATATTCAAACATATTTTTTGAAAAAAAAAAAAAAATGTCAAAGTATGTACCATAGTCAAAAGTAATTGAATCTACATATTTGTACTTTGTGCATAATTAACAACACTTTTAGCGAATATTTACGGTCTATTTTCAACCAATTATGAAATTGTACTTAAGTATTAGAACTTAAGAAATTATACTTAACAATCCCGAATTTGAGTTTCACGCGTAAATTAAACTGTTAATATGTTAGTCAGTTTCTGAGTGCTTATCTATGATTAACACGTGTGTATTGTAATAAACAGTTTGAAAATTTGAAGCAAAAAAATTAGAACATGCAACATGTATGTATGATAGAAATCTGGATTTTTTTTAACTTAGATCAAACATGCTTATTTACAGAAAAGGGCTATCAAGACAAAAAATATGGTTTTTTGTTATCAAATGGTAAATAAAAAGATCCATCCGGCGTATGAAAAATAGTTATTCCGTCTGTCTGTCTGTCTGTGTGTCTGCCTGTCATCTTCGATTTTTGTTAGACATATAGTCTCGAAAACTATTGGACAGATTCTTACCTCAGTGGAATTCTGCCTTTAGATGACATCCCCTCAAAATTTTATACAATAATCATTATTTAAATTTTATGAAATCATATACTTCTACACCTGTGGTTTATGAATCCGCCGCATAATCATAACTCTTTGTAAAAATATTTGTGCAATATTCGCTGCATGTTTCATGTAACTGATGTCTCCCTCGCGTGCCAAACAAATGGGTCGTGGCCGGGTGAATCAAGACTTTCTAAAAATATATTTACATACAAAATGACATATACATTTAAAAAAACAAACATTGATCGAAGGTTATTTAGAGAGAACAAATCCCGCTTTTTTGAAAAATTATAAGTCGGTCCAGTAGTTTCGGAGATTTTTATCTGTCTAATAAAAATCAACACAGACATTGAGACGAAAATAGGAGATCTATTTTTTCTTGCTGTGGAGGTCATGAAACGTCGAGGAAATATTAAAGTAACTGTAATGTTTTTTTTTAAGTATGCGTGCTACATCGATATTCCATATTTTTATCAGTTCGTATTCAGAAATAAAAAATTGGAAAGGGATAGTAGGTGTGCAGTTTCTTCATTATTTTCTAAAAAATTGGTCTAAAGAGTTTGGACAGTACTTCCCTCGCTGTCGGAAACGTGACGACTGCATGTCTATTATGTTTTTTTTTCGCAGTAGATTTCATTATTTTCTTTGAGTCACCCGGTATATGCAAATTCAAAAAATATGATTGGAATGATAAATTACAAGTACAGACTCATCATATTTTGTATATTCTAGATAGGATTTATTCGGCAAACTTTTGAGCTGACGTCATCAGTTTTTTGTAGAAGATAACCAAATATATTTTGACTAAAAATTTATTATGCTCTTTATAACCTTAAAACATTTGCAAAATTTCAAAACATTCGGTTCTGGAGTTCCTGATTAAATCAATAAAATACATTTACCCATTCATTAATTTTTTTGGGTCACCCTGTATATGCAAATCCAAAAACTATGAATGGAATGATAAATCACAAGAAAAGACTCATCATATTTTGTACATTATAGATCGGATTTATTCGGCAAACTTTTGAGCTGACGTCATCAAGTTTTTGGAGGGGATAACCAAATATATTTTGACTAAAGATTTATGATGCTCTTTATAGCCTTAAAACATCTGCAACATTTCATAGCATTCGGGTTAGCAGATTTAAAATTAAATTGCAAAATGTTATTTCATAATTTTGATTTTTTTTCCAAAAATCTGGACTTTTCGGGTAAAAACTCAATTCGGATTCGTAAACTACATGTATAGGACTATGTTATTTTAAGCAATTTAAAACCCATTTACTATGTACAATTTTGAAGTGACGTCATCGCATTAGTGGTGGGGATGATTAGACAAATTTTGGTTAGCGTTTTACCATCTACATGATATTCCTAATATAAGTACAAAATGTCACAACAATCGGTCCAGTACTTTCGGAGATTATCTGTCTAATAAAAATCCGGGACGGCAGACAGACGGACAGACAGACGGAAATGGGAGACCTATTTCTTCGTCTTCTAGGGGTCATGAAAGATCGAGAAAACGTAAAAGTAGAGAGTCGGCCGACGGACTCGATTACAATACTTCCTTTGCTTACGCTCGGGAAGTAAAAAAAAAACGAAAAGCCAAGTTTGGAATCGAACGCGCGATATCTGGTCCGTATTTCTCACTTTCAACCACTAAACCACGACCGGGATGCTTTACGCTAATGCTAAACTACTATTTTACCGTGTATTATGTTTTTGCAAAAATTTGGACGGTTAGGGAAAAACTCAAAGCGGATTCATAAACCACACTTATAGGAGTATATTGTTGTATAACAGTTAAATCAAACAAACATAGAATTTTTTGAAACGATGTCGTCAAATTGTTGGTGGGGATAACTAGCAAAATTTTGGTTAGTATTTAACCATCTGCATGATACTTCTAATATATTGTTACGTTGAACGAACGAATCAATTCGGCGTGGGTAAAACTCGACAATTTATTTCTTAATAATTCGGATTTATACAACTAATTACAGAGCGATTATGTACAAAATAATTCCGGAGCGACATTCACTGTATTGACTCGACACTCGTTGGACTCGACTTGTTAACTGAATTCAGCTCTCGTTTTCTGGACTACACCAACTGCTCCCGACGGTGGTTCCAATTTAAACAGCACGTGGTCCTTCTCGAAACGCCTACGTCACTGTTCTAGACTTCTCTCGAGCACCCATTCGCGGCTACCGCTTCCAGGTCTCCGGCCACCGCTACCGACAATGAGTCATTGGCAACGTACATGCTTAGAACCGATTGGCGTCGTACCAGGGTTTATTTCGTAACAATATGTACAAAATTTGACAACAATCGATCCAGCAGTTTCAGAGATTACGTGTCTAATAAAAATCGATACAGACAGACGGAAACGAGAGACTACTTTTTACTTCCCGAGCGTAAGCAAAGGAAGTATTGTAATCGAGTCCGTCGGCCGACTCTCTACTTTTACGTTTTCTCGATCTTTCATGACCCCTAGAAGACGAAGAAATAGGTCTCCCATTTCCGTCTGTCTGTCCGTCTGTCCGTCCATCTGTCTGTCTGTCTGCCGTCCCGGATTTTTATTAGACAGATAATCTCCGAAAGCACTGGACCGATTGTTGTGAAATTTTGTACTTATATTAGGTATATCATGTAGATAGTAAAACCCTAACCAAAATTTGTCTAATCATCCCCACCACTAATGCGATGACGTCATTTCAAAATTGTACATAGTAAATGGGTTTTAAATTGTATCAAATAACATAGTCTTACACATGTAGTTTATAACTCCGAATTGAGATTTTACCCGAAACGTCCAGTTTTTTGGAAAAAAAAATCAAAATTAAAAAACAACATTTTGAAATTTAATTTTGAATCTGCTAACCCGAATGCTTTGAAATGTTGCAGATGTTTTAAGGCTATCAAGAGCATCATAAATCTTTAGTCAAAATATATTTGGTTATCCCCTCCAAAAACTTGATGACGTCAGCTCAAAAGTTTGCCGAATAAATCATATCTAAAATGTACAAAATATGATGAGTCTGTACTTGTGATCTATCACTCCATTCATATTTTTTTGGATTTGCATATACAGGGTGACTCAAAAAAATTAATGAATGCGTAAATTTATTTTATTGATTTACTCAGGAACTACAAATCGAATTCTTTGAAATCCACTGCGAAAAAAAAAACATAATAAGCATGCAGTCGTCACGTTTTCGACAGCGAGGGAAGTACTGTCTAAACTCTTTAGACCAATTTTTTCGTACTGTAGGGGTCATGAAACGTCGAGAAAATATAAAAGTGGCCATTCGTCCGATGGACACGATTATTATACTTCCGATACTTCCTTAGTTTACGCTCGAGAAGTAAAAAACGTAGTGTTATTATGATAAATAGATGTGCCAGATATCGGTGAAAACTATTTTCCAAACTTGTTTTTTTTTTCGTTAAAAAAAATTGATAAAATTATTAAATTAACTTTATTTCAATATGCGGTATGTAACAAGAAATGAGAGATGTGAACGCTGTGGAATTCTTGAAAAATATTCTAAAGAGAACACCTGATTTACTAACAGATTGTTCTTAAATAATACACATGTGAAAAACAGTTGAAATTATTATTATTTTTTGCTTCAACTAAACCATGAGGAATACACCGAGTCGTTGTCATAATACATGTGTTTTGTTTTTAAATACTGATACCAAAAATAAATAAACATTACAATAGCGATTGTATTCCAAAGATGATATAACACCATTGTATTTGGATTTGGAATTCTTCAAACCAGAATACTTTCTTAGAAGTAACAATAAGGAAGTACATTCCTTCGCTGATAATAATTAGTACTAGGACCCGCACTGGCTACTGAAATTGCTGCTGTCATTAACTAATATGTTGAGCAGCACCTCACGTACATGTTCAAAACAGCAAACAACGAACAATTGAAACCTATAGGTAAAATCATTTTGTTATGTTGGTCATAATAACATAAATGTGTTCAACCAGTTTAGAAAATTAATTACAATTATTCGTTTGTTAAAGTTAGAGTTTTACCATTCAACTACTTTCGACATCTGTCAGACTTCCGACGATTTTCGACGTCGCATAGTAATCCAAATTTTACAAGACTTGTACAAAACTGAACTCGAATTTCCAGCTACCGCAAGACCTGAATAAAAATTTTTGTCCTCAAATGTATCTAAACAAAGTTACTGCATCATTTTTCTTGTCCACGCTGGCTGCCATATTTTACCAGCATCTGGTTTCAAAACGGATACCTTAGACGTTATCGATGCCACTAAAATCCAGGAGTCAGCGCCGAGAATTTACTGTTTACAACTTCCGAGTGGTTGTAAACATGCTAATCTGAAAATGGAACAGTTTAAATTATGCTTATCATTGTCTTATTTTGGTGTGACATTCCTGAAATTTATATTAATATGAAAATCTAACATTAATTTTATAGTTATTTTACATTTGCAAAATGTGAACTATAGGAAATGTGAGCAAATCTAAATGTATGCTGTATGCATGTTATTTCCAATAGCTAACAATGTCATCGTACGATTTGAATGAATAATAGATTGATAGATACATGTTGCAATTTATTATTCATTGATTGATGTAATTGAATTGCTTCATGTATATTAATGCCCCCATTAATTTCTTATTATGTCCATCAATCTATACAAATAACATTCTTTAATTAAAGGAAAAACTGCGCCAAATGGATAGCTACGAGGACGTAACCGACCCATCTCACCACTGGGATCGTTCTGTATCCGCTCAGAGTTTAAAACAGAGAGCTCAATCAACTTCCTGTCTAGATTTAAATAAACCCACAAATATCGACCATCTTAGAAGTCTTCTGCCGTCATACCGTCCAGCCCCCGATTACGAAACGGCCATACAACAAAAGTACAGAAATTCTTCCGGTGCCATACCACCTCGAGAACCTATCCGAAATACTCACTCAATACTCTACAGTTCCCAGCCGGAAATCCATCAAACTGAAACATACTCTACACATTTGCGTTACCCAGATGTCACCCATAACAACATCGAACCAAAGAATTTATTAACGACGATGTATAATGCCGGTTTCACACAATCCCAGATTTTACAAAGCGAAAATCAACATAATTTTACAGAAAATGTGGGCCTGCTGCATTTGTATAAACCACCACCACCGTATCCTAGTAATCGGATAAGTTCGAATTCTACACCGGATTTACCCGGAATTTCCCAACAGGCGAAGCCGACCCATCATTTTATAAATAGTATAGTGAGCGGGTCTAGTCCTGATCTGGTATCAGGGAACTTGTATTTGAAACACTATGGACAACCCTTGTATCCTAATCATCAAGCGCACCCAGTACATAGGTCGCATAGTTATTTACCTCCTCAACATGGAACGTACGAAAATTTGTCGTCCATTTTCAATAATAATATGCTAGGACGTCCTCAAGCTCTCATAGTAGAAAATCCAAATATAACTAAACATATTAAAAAAGTATACGACGAACACGGTAACATCATTTATTGTATGCCTGCTAACATGAAACAGATCCTTCAGGAAAACCAGTTACCAAGCACCGGGTTTGTCGTTACCAGAAACCAAAACACGATGGTAGCACATGACCCCCATCTAAATAATTCCACAGAGCCCATTTACGAAAATATACCACTGCCATGGCAGAACGAGAACGGGGAAATGAGAGCACGTACCCAGAGCATCCACTCAGCGCCAGAGATAAGTCAGGTGGTTAACCACACTGTAGTGAATGCTTTAGAGTCTCAATTTCGACAAACACGAATCAATGAGAATCACGGCAGCAAAGAAACGCTTTACGCTAATATCAACAGAAGTAATTCAAGCGCGAAGTCCTCCAAAACTGATTTAAATGTTCAAGATATGTCGGAATTAAGTAGGTCGAATCAGAATTTGAGCGATTCGCCGGTGACCACAAGTTCGAATAGTACTTTTATAGTTAATAAAAATCCTGTGATGAATTCGACAAGTGTTAGTAGCGCGTTGTTTAATGAGAGTGGGGCTACTAATGAGTCTCTGGGGACTAGTTCGACGTCAAATAGTTCTACTAAGTCAAAGAAGAAGAGATGGGGAATTTTGATAGGGAGGAGTAAATCGAATGAAAAGGTGAAGAGCGCGACGTTGGGTAGAGAGAAAGAGAAGAAAGAGAAGAATCATACTAATACGAAACATAGGTGGTCCACAGGCCTTCCGAGGTTTAATCCGCTGCCTCCGTCTATCAGCAAGGAGACCATGGTATGATTTTTTAACCTCTTAGTGCGGTATAACATAAGACTGTCGAATATTGTCTACATTTTTTCCGTATTTGTAGTGTCAGCTCCTAGAAAACAAATTAGCCGACAGCCAACTTTTCTTCGAATTTGATAAAATCCCAAAAAAGAAACAAAACGCCGAGTTTACAACAGCTTGCCATCGGGATAACGCGCAATTCAATCGATTTAAAGACGTCCTTCCATATGAAGATAACAGATTAAGGCTTACACCAACAAAAACCAACAAATATGGATACATCAACGCGTCCCATATTACAGTAAGCCTACGTCATTTCGGTATTGAGGATGTACTTATTTAATTGTTATCAGGCTACAGTTGGCAGCAAACAAAGGTTTTACATCGCAGCCCAAGGTCCCAATCGTATAACTTTACCCAATTTTTGGCAATCTGTGTGGGAGGCGGAAGTTTATTTAATAGTGCAACTAACGGATAGCACGGAAGATCTGCATTACATGCCAGATTCTGGAGAGCGGTGTATTGACATAGGACAAGTCAGTGTGTTTATTTCTCATTGAAAGTTACTAAGAGTGGACGTTTTAGGAATATCAAGTTTGGTGGGAATTTTCGCAAAACTCCGGAACTTGTGTTACTAGTAAAGTGCGGCTGTGTCATGTGACGTCTCGTAGATATAGGACGTTGTGGCATATGCACTATACTGACTGGGGCGATCAGGGATGTCCGCACTCGGTTTCCCATTTCTTAGGTTTTCTAGAAGAAATGCAATCTGTGCATCAACATTCAATGGGTGAAATACCACCTGGACACAATAAAAACCCACCTATTTTAGTTCACTGTACTGCAGGGGTTGGCAGAACTGGACTTACAATTTTAAGTGATCTTTTGTTATACACTGTGGACCATAATCAAGTACGTAAGTTATTACCTTGAACGATTTTATCTTCATGTTTTTTTTTACAGGAAGTATGTATACCGCGAGTTGTCGAACTTCTTCGCCACCAGAGAGCGTACATGATACAAACAATAGCCCAATATAGATTCGTTTATTCACTTTTAATACACTATTTAAAACAAACACGGCTTATATAGCACTTTTTATTTGAATGAAATTAATTTGCTGTGTTCAGTGTTTTTGTAGGTTAAGTTGCAACTAATGACCCAAAAAAATCTAATCGAGTTGGTATTAATTCCTTAACGTTTTTATTAATGTGTTTAAAAAGTTCATCCCGCGTTAGAACTCAAATAGTATTTATTAAAGTCTGATTAATTGTAATATTTACCATTCTACATTTTATTTATGTAATTCAACAAATTATTTATATTGTCATGATATTGTTTTTAATCTACGTAATTGTATATTTTGATCTGTTATTATTGTCAAATTTAATAATATAAAGGCTGTGTATATAATTAATCGATATTTTAACATTTTTTGCAAGCAATAAGATATCTATTGTGATTATCAACAGTGCCTTAATTATGTAAATTTTGTTATGTATGTACAATTTTAAAAATAAAGCTGAATAACACAAGAAAGTGATGCATTCTCAACAAATCATACATTTTCTAAAAGCAGCATTAAAACAACTATTGAAGTACGAAAATTTATTTCACCGTTGTCCACTCATATACATAATATATTCACAATTAAAGTAAAAATCCTATATGTAACAAATTTATATATTTAATTCAATAAGGTCTATGCGGAGGCTGTCCTGGAGGCGGCGTTAGCTGATAGAACGGCCCTGCTGGAGGCCCCATTGGTGGAAAGGGCGGTGGATGTGTGACGTACGGTGGAAATACCGTCGGGGGGTTTATATGTGGTGGAGGTCCCGGAGGCGGGGCGGCCAAATGAGTTGGTCCTGGAGGCGTTGGTAAAGGCGCAGCGTACGGCGGAGCGGGATATGGTGGAATTGGAGGCGGAGCTCCTGTAAACGTTTGATATGGATACTGGGGGACATCTGGAGGTGGTGGCACTTTTGTATTAACTGTAGGTATTATTTCAGGGACTTCTGGTTTTTCTTGGCCATTTGATTTTCTAGTTACTGCTGTAGTTGGTCTAGGCGGAAGAGGCGGACTGTCGGGGGCGGGGCTAGTTGTAGGCTGAGAATATAAGTCAAGGACTTGATGACAAATGTCTTCTAAGAGATCCATGGTGACGTCTTCTACAAACATGTCCCACCATCTAAGATGTTTCGCCGTCCGTCCTACCCAATCGACCACTTCAAACTGGCTTAGTTTGCCTGCGAGGTACATTAAGGCTACAGCTATGATTTCAGGTTCCCACTGTAAGGCTAATGTTGTGCAAAGGCTGTCATTTACAAAGGTCCAGGCCATCTGAACCATTTTTTGCAATTTGTTTTTGTCTCCTTTTAAACACTTGGCGTACTTTAACAAATAGCTGTATGGGTGTTCTACTTGCAAATCAAATTTTATTGTTTGTAATAAAATTCGTTCAAGAGTCATTACCTACAATACAAATTTAGTACAAGAGGTTTCATCTGTAATTTGTGTTACTACCTCTTCTTTAGGGTCATCTCCAAAAGTTGCAAATTTTTGATCTGACAACAGTCCTCGCGCAGTTTTTATGATATCTTTACACTTCTTTGGCGTTTCTTCAACTTTCCCTGCAAGAAATAGGCAGCAGCAAGCTGTCACGTATCTTGGAAATTGGCGAAATGAATGAAACATGTAAAAGCGATGAAAATATACAACGCCGGTGGCTGTAGTATTATAACCAAGATCCATTTTGGCCCCGGTGTTAATAATAAATCGGGCTCCTTAAACAGTTCACTATTAAAACATTTTTCGTAATAAAAAAAAGTCCATACCTTCCTTTCGATATCGCATTTCTGTGTCATAATCAATTCCATCTTGAGAAGAAGGAGTGTTCCTTAACTCTTTCTTATCGTAGTACCACCCCGTCATCGTAATAGACTTCTACAATAATAATGCACACTCGAACTAAATGTAACATAAGTATTACAATAACTCACCTGAGTTGTGGAAATATTCAAAAATACGCTTAAATAATAATTTTAATTGTATCTTTGCTTTATGAAGGCATTACTTATTTTTCACCACTTTTTACATTTGTCAATACAAAAACTAACCCGTCTAACCTAAATCTCGCAATGTCTGTCAAAAAAACAACAAGGATGTAGTTGGCAATATTTAGGGACCCTACAAATAATTAATTAAAAAATAAAAATGTTCTTTAGCGTTATAACAGTAGTTAAAAATAACATTAAATTCTAAATAATCAATGAAGAGCTTCTAACAAAATGCGACCTTACTTTAAATTTAACTTTTAAACAAGTTTGGAGAGTTTTAATTTTAAAATTCAATATGTTGGTAACTCAACTACCCCGGAAATTTAGCCATCTCTGTCGCGTATCCGTTCTGTCAAATTCTTTTCACGGCGTGTCATGGTGGAGTGTTGAGGTGAGTAGAGTATTTAAAGTTTATTTTGATGTTTTATAGATTATAATGCGCCATACATAATGTTCTGTTTTTAACCTATATCATGTAAATAGTTTTTGTGATAGATTTGCGCTAAAATCGTACATTTACATAGTTTTTCGCCATCATGTATTGCTTGACCACATGGTTTTAAGTACTTGCGTTATGTTTAATGCACTAAAATTCGGTGCACGGAATAAAATAACTCAAATCGAGTTTTGATTGTTCAATGTTTCTGAATATGACTATGATAGTCAAGTCAAGGTAAGTTAAAATGCCGTAATAGTGTGCAATAGTCATATTCAAAGATATTGAATATGATTGTGTGCACCTAGTAATTGATTTTGATATTGTTTATTTTCTAGATAAGCAACCAACATGCCACAAAACGAATATGTAGAACGCCATCGGAAGCTCTACGGTCGCCGGTTGGATTATGAAGAACGCAAACGTAAAAAGGAAGCCCGTGAGCCCCACAAGAGAGCACAAGTAGCCCGAAGTCTAAGAGGTATCAAAGCGAAGATATTCAACAAAGAACGCCGCAATGAAAAAATACAAATGAAAAAGAAAATCAAAGCACATGAGGAAAAGAAGACCAAGAAAACCACAGAAAAAGTGGCTGAAGGAGCTATTCCAACGTACCTCCTGGATCGCGATGTGCAGTCTCGAGCTAAAGTCCTTTCCAACATGATAAAACAAAAACGCAAAGAAAAGGCCGGAAAATGGGATGTTCCAATTCCTAAAGTAAGGGCGCAAGCAGATGCTGAAGTTTTAAAGGTTGTTAAATCAGGAAAGTCAAAAAGGAAAGCATGGAAAAGAATGGTTACCAAAGTAACTTTCGTTGGTGAAGGATTTACAAGAAAACCTCCAAAGTTTGAAAGGTTTATCAGACCAATGGCATTGAGATTTAAAAAAGCACATGTCACACATCCAGAGCTTAAGGCAACGTTTTACTTACCAATCATTGGAGTTAAGAAGAATCCTAGTTCACCAATGTTCACAAGTTTAGGTGTTATAACTAAAGGCACAGTTATCGAAATTAATATTTCTGAATTAGGTTTAGTAACACAAGCGGGTAAAGTTGTATGGGGCAAATATGCGCAGGTCACAAATAATCCGGAAAATGATGGGTGTATTAATGCTGTTCTTCTAGTTTAAGTTTTGTAATTATATGAAATTAAACGTTTTAACATAAGGATTGTTTTTTTTTTCTGCAAGTTGTTAACGTGTACCATGTTTAAGTCACGGACCTTAAACAAGATTCTAACATCCCTGTCTAAAAAATATTGTGGAATGATTTTTTTTATTGCATTTTTTTTTCATGGCAGGTAACTCTCCACAATGCAGATTTTCGTTAAAACTCTGACTGGTAAGACCATCACCCTTGAGGTCGAGCCTTCAGATACTATTGAAAATGTGAAGGCCAAAATCCAAGATAAAGAGGGAATTCCTCCGGATCAACAACGTCTCATCTTCGCTGGTAAACAACTGGAAGATGGACGCACCTTATCTGATTACAATATCCAAAAGGAATCTACCTTGCATTTAGTTTTAAGACTCAGGGGAGGCGCGAAGAAACGCAAGAAGAAGAATTATTCTACTCCCAAAAAAATTAAACATAAGAAGAAGAAGGTTAAGTTGGCAGTTTTGAAATTTTACAAGGTTTGTATTATTAAGTTGAACGAAAACACAAAAATAATGAACTTTTTTTAATAGGTGGACGAAAATGGTAAAATCCACAGATTGAGGCGCGAATGCCCTGGTGAGCAATGTGGCGCGGGTGTCTTCATGGCCGCCATGGAGGATCGTCATTATTGCGGAAAGTGTGGATACACTTTAGTTTTTGCTAAGCCAGAAGACAAGTAAAATGTCATGTATAAAAATAATTGTAAATTCTTGAAATGCTGAATAAACGTTTCAAGGAATTTTACTTTCGGTTTATTTGTTATTAAGATTCGTTATCTCTAAACATAGATAAGAAGTAATTACAAGTGGTTAGAGCGTGTTAAAGTCGCTTTCAAGTTCTCTATTTTTACGCGATAGTGGCATTGAGTTATTTTAGGTTATGTTTTGAGTGCTTACGAAAATTATAATGAATTTAAGACAACTAATTCTGCCAATCAGTGTAACCGCGTTATTGGCGGCAACAGCAGTAACTGTATTCAGATTTTACAAAGAAGAGAAACCATTCTACATCAGACTAAAAAAAAGAAAAAAGGTGCCATATAAGCTACGGAACGCTCGAATAACTGCAGACACACTTGTTGCTCATGTTACTCAAGGCAAACTTAATTTTGTGTTCAGTTTAAGCTTTCTGAACGACGAAATTATTCATATACAAATAAATGATCCCATTTATCCACGGTACGTTGTGCAGGATGTAGTCAAACTACCATCAACATTAAAAATGGAAGACCTCACTATGAGACACGAACGTAACTATTTACACGTCAGTTACCACAATTTCAACATTAAAATAAATTGTGACGACTTAGAGATCTATGTCTATAAAAACAATGATTTATTTTTGTCCATAAACGCCGAGAAGTTCTTTGTGATGGAAGAACAAGAACCCTACGTTGGCATAGCGGCGGATTTTCTTTTTCTAAATGCTTTCAAAACATACGGATTACCTCAGCATGCCGAACGCTTGTCTTTACAAGCGAATGGTAATAAACTTTATCGTTTGTACAACACGGATAGATTTGCATATTCTGCAACCCATCCGCACGAATCTTTGTATGGCGCGGTACCACTTATTTACGCATATGGAACAAATCAGACAACTGGACTTTTGTGGCTGAATTCATCTGAAACTATCATAGACATCTGTAGCAAAGACAAAGGTTTAAGATCAACATTTTTTAGTGAAAGTGGAGCTGTAGATTTTTATATACTGAATGGACCAAAGCTACAAGATGTTGTGCGCCAGAATTCACAACTGACAGGTATTTTGACGAATTGTTAATAAAATGTAAATTTTGATTACATGTAAATAACTTTCTACAGGCGCTGTTCCTTTACCACCTTTATTTGCTTTGGGTTACCACCAGTGTCGCTACAGTTATATGACCCAAGAGGAAGTCATAGACGTATCAAACAAGTTTGATGAGCACAAATTTCCACTTGAGTCACTGTGGATGGACATCGATTATACAGACGATAAAAAATACTTTACGTGGAATCCCACCACTTACCCTGACCCAGAACGGTTGTTAAAATTCTTAGAAAACAAAAAACGAAAAGCCGTTGTTATAATAGACCCCCACATAAAAGTAGACGATGATTATTTTGTATACACGCAGTGTAAGAAAGGTGATTTTTTTGTAAAAAATCCCAATGGAACGATGTTTACCGCAAAGTGTTGGCCCGGTACTAGTAGTTGGATCGATTTTTTAAATCCAAAAGCGAGACAGTTTTACAGCGATTTACACAGAGATTTCGTCAAGTCTAAGATTCTCCACATTTGGAACGACATGAATGAGCCCGCCTTATTCGAGATCAAGGAAAACACGATACCCAAAAATGTGCTTCATTATGGCAACTGGAAACACAGAGATGTTCACAATTTGTATGGTTTTTACCAAACGATGGCCACGTATCAAGGTCTATTAAATCGATTTAATATCAGACCGTTTGTTCTAACAAGGGCACATTTTGCGGGGTCTCAAAGATTTGCAGCAGTTTGGACTGGTGACAATACTGCCAGTTGGGATCATTTGAAAATTAGTGTGCCCATGTGTCTGACCGCAAGTTTAGCAGGTAGGTGAATCCCACACGAAGTTTACCGTCAAATTTCTTGCAAGTTTGTTAGTTTAAAATTTTTCTTGCAGGTTTTAGTTTATGCGGTGCTGATATTGGCGGTTTTGTCAAGCATCCCGACGACGAATTATTGCAAAGATGGTATCAGTTAGGTGCTTGGCTACCTTTTTTCCGAGGCCATTCAAATCGAAACGTGCCTCGCCGAGAACCATATTTATATGACAAATCTATACAGCAAAGAATACGTTTTTCACTTCAGCAGAGATACAAACATTTACTCCACTGGTACACTTTATTTTGGGAACATCATACAACATTGAAACCTGTAGTCCGACCTTTAATTTATGAGTACTCGTATGACAAAAATGTTTTGGATTTGGATAACGAGTTTTTAGTCGGTGACAGCATTTTAGTTTGTCCTGTTCTACAACGTCAAGTGGAAGCAATTGACGTGTACTTACCCGGAGGAGAAAATGAAGTATGGTACTATGTTGAAAATTCCACAAGCCATAAGTATACAGGCAATGTTTACTTCACCATGTCAGTTGAAATGAACACTATTCCAGTGTTTTACCGGGGAGGATTCATCATCCCTATAGTAGAACAACCTGTAACGTGTTCTGCCGACTTTCTCGACGGTTGTTCACTTACCTTATATATTTTTTGCAACGTAAAAGCAAGTGCTAGTGGAACTTTGTATATAGACGACACCGTATCGTTTCATTATTTAGAAAAAAAGTACACGTACATCAGATTTGACCTAAAGACTTCACAAATTTCCTCTACGCATATCCATCGCAATTTTGGTGATAAATCATCAATCATTATAAAGTCAATAAAATTATATGGCTACAATAAAGACGTACACGGTGTTGCATTGAAAATAGATGGTATGTTTAAAGATGATCCTAAAATTGTCATTGTCAAAGAAATCGACTGCATACAAATTGAAAATTTGGACATTAACATAGGACAAGATTTTATTTTAACTTTATTAAAATAAATCTTGCGTAGCCTTAAGTAGTAAGTGTTAAAACTTGTTAAATATGACGTCACTTCGGATTGGCGTTATTAAAGCTGATTTGATTAGTCCTCTCATGTAGGAGTTATTTATGATAAGTAATAATAAAAATGTTAATATCTTACTGTCGTTAATTTAATTAAAGGCTACACAACGTGTACAGGAACAATCGATAAAATCTATGGAGGTACTAAAAATATAACACAGTGCGCAGTGACATAGAATAAATTTAAAACAATAACAACACGATCTATAGCTCATCTTGGCGAGTTTGCTCAACAGTATCTTTATGGTTTTGTAAAATAGAGACCACTTTGTTGGTATAAGATGGGTTTATTGATCGTTGAAGTTCGTTCAAAGACTCCTCCGTCTAAAACAACAAAATTAAAAAAAAATAAATGTTTGTTTCAATCAAACCTGTTTTAAAAGTTGTATAGCAGTTTTTAAAATCCGTTGCCACTTTTGTATTTCGACAGAATGAACCGTTTCTTGCTGCTGAAGAAGTTTGATCCACTCGTCATGCGTTTTAGGTGGATCTCTGTATAAAGAAGATATAGCGAAATTTTATGCGATTTAAAGTACTCACTTAAGAACGTGCAAGTCCAATAAGGTGTATGGAGGGGACTCTTCTAAAGACCACAACTTGAAATACAACATGACATTTAGAATAACTAACAATATTAGAACAGTGAATACTATCATAGTAGCGACATCGGAGCTAAAAATACCGCCTGAAGAAATTTTCATCCTATTTGTGGCACCTACAACACCCGGTTATTCTTTTTACAACTACAAAAAAGTGCGACAAACCCATTAAAGGTCGACTATCTTCTACCCCTCCTCTTGGCATACTATGTATTCTTCGTTTCCTTCGCGATTTTCGTTTAACGTCAGAAACATTCTCTTCACCTTCTGCATGTAAAGCTTTACTCAGCGCGGTATAAAAGTCCTCCAATCCAGACCAACACGTTTTTTCAATCATACCTAAACTGCATCATGAGAAGCTATTTCCCAAAATCTAAAACATACCTTTCACTAACCCCCAGACGGACTTCTTATACAAAACTTGTGCATATACTTGGTAAGAACTTTCCGTTTCGGAAATTTTTTGAAGACAATGATGAACTACAACATTAAAGCTATCTGCATAAGGAATGCCGGCGTTGACAGTTTCGACGTCAATGGCATAAAGACAACCTGGTTTACTACATGGAAGCATAACCTACAGAAAGAACATCTTAAAAATTGCCGAATTTATGGTTGCCGGCAAAGTTACTTGACTCTCGGTAACTTGCGCCGTCTTGGGGCCCATTGCTTGATTTAAAGCCATTGTTAAACTAACGATGCGACTTTTACTATTGTCGCTTGAATTGGTCCAAGGAGTTTGAGTAAGATCAGTTGTTTTCCTAGACGCATGAAAGTCTAAGTAGAACTTTGAACTCGTAAAAAGCAGAGTAAATAATTGATCTATGTGGATTGGAACGACCTCGCTCATTACTTGCCGTCCTTCGTGAAGTGATGTACACTGTACGTTTGTATCACATCTGTAAGATAACATCTTTCGTTATAAAAATACTTACGACTCCCTTCCAAAAAAAAACGTGTTATATATTCAAACGTGGTCAAATAATTAAGCAAGACGATTAATTATGCCATTATACACGCGAATCCGGCTCAAAGGATCATATATACAAATACATACATTTCGCTAGACATTGATTGTTTGAGTTTTGTGGTAGCCTGAATGAAACTTCTGTTAGTAAAGTCACAGCCAAATCAAATCATTAATTTTTGGGGTTTTCCCCAACAACATGCACTCTGTAGTGTTAGGAAGCAGGTTAATAAATTTTAAAAAATTCCGTAATGCAGTGACTTACTTGACACTCTGCAAAACTGGAACTCTATCATCAGAGTCGGGAGTTGGTGGATGTATACAAGGGAGGGATTTTTCCCAGGAAAGGAATAAGGGTAGTTTTATTCTGAAAGGCAACACTTGACAACATTAATGCAAATCAGTTTTTCCGGGAACGAAACTGTTATTTACCTCGTATGTTTTTCTCCGTCCGATTCTGTAGTATCCGAGAGATCGGTCGGAATGTGGGAAGCTGAAGTGGTTCGCTTTCTGCTGTCCATCGTTTTGTGGACGATGTTTTCGTCGTCTTGGGATTTGTTGTCCTCGATGACCATGTCTACAATGGCTTCGACGCCACCGCACTCGTGCTGAAAATTTTAATTTGACTTAGGTGGGTACTATTCATAAGCAAGTAGTAATTTTTTTCTTTGATATATTATCAAACTTTTTTTTTCTTTGTTTTAGAGCAGCAATAGATTTGACTTTAGGATATTAACCTTCTGAACTTATTACCACTAAGTAAATGAATGCATCATCCATTAATCAATTACAATTTCATCATGGCATTCGCTATCGTGTCAAGATCAATTTGTTCAAAATCTAATCCAGGTTTCAACTGCTGCTTCAAAGTTTCACTTAGAATTCCATAAAATTAGCTTTTTTCTTTTAAAGTCTTGTATTCATTATACTGTTTTATAGCTTTTTTTAGCAGTAGTTTTGCCGTTAACCTAAAATAACGAAAAATTCGATAGTTTCGACGAATATTGAGAAATGTAATGACTTTGTTATGTCTACAGAGAAAATTGTCCGACTAATAATAATTGGTTTCTTACATGCAAATTCCAAACAGTGGCTTTCATAGACGATACAGTAAAACACCTAAAACCAAAAATAGCTGTCACTAATATTGACAAACTATCCTTGAATAGGTTTTCAAGACTGATGATTCGACCTTTTCAAAGCTAGTCTTCCATAAATATTGGTGAAAGGCACGAATAAGTTTTTTAGCAAGAAATTAAATGTTTTGTCGTAGTTGTAGCTGAATTGTATTATTGTTTTATTAAAAACATGAGTTGTAATTTTAATTCTAGAGCTGGTAAACGGAATAAAGAAACAAACAGGAACTGAAACAAATAGTTTCTAGAAATCGGAACATCTATAAAAATCTACGAAACATGTTAATATTTTACTTATCTTGGAGAAGGCGCAACAATCAACAATATTTTATGTAATTATATTATTATACCAAAGGTACTGTTTGTTCCACAACAAATTTAAAGCCATTTTAAGATATCCAACACAGCTTTTTTTTTCTTGAACATGTTGTAATCTGTACTTTGAGGAGTGTTTTTAAATATTTTCTTGCTGCTTTACAACTTGTGGGATACAAAATGCCGTTTCCGGTTTACGTATTTCTGTTCTATTTTAGTGAATACGTAAGTTGTGAAACTACCGAACCGATTACTGCAAAATTTTATTTATGTTTTAAATTATGATTTAATTAAAATGCATTATTTATTAAGTACGGTTAAAATTTAAAATTATAACACTAATCAATATAATTTATCAATTTATCTTTTTAGAAACAGCAATGTTATCTATACTTCTATACTTATATAATAAAGCTGAAACTTTTGTTTATTTGAACACGTTAATCTCAGAAACTACTGGTTCAAATTCAAAAAATCTTTTTGTGTTGGATAGTCCATGTATCATATCTACATATAGGCTATATAATATCACGCTACGATCATTAGGAGCGAAGTAGCAATGAAAAATTCGGAAAAACGGGAAAATTATTCCTCCTTTGACAACTTCCGTTGCTGACGCTGCTTAAACGGTTAAAGTTAAGGCGGCCACACACACAGAGGGAAGACTGTGCAGTTAAAAGTGTGCACCCTTGTCGTAAGTTAAACCCGTACTCTCTAATTGCACACACAGAGAGAGGGAAGACTGCGCAATCAAAAGTGTGCACGCTTGTCGTAAGTTATTACAGTGGCGTGCATTTGTATTGTATAAAAAAAACAATTGTAAAATAAGTCAGACGTCATTTAAAAATACAACGCTAATGAATTAAAACTCAAGCGTGCAGCGACTTGTCTCCACACACACTGAGTTTTCCCCGCGCAGTTATAACTGTGCACGCTAACAACAGACTAGACTGCACATGCCACATTCTTCCCCACACACTAGGAGTTTTAACTGTACCCCGTGGCACGTACATTCAAGTCTTGACTCTTCCCTCTGTGTGTGTGGCTGCCTTTACGTAAAAATCATGTACGACGAAATTGTTCCCCTCTAAAAGTTCTAAAGAAAAGTCCGCCACACACACAGAGGGAAGAGTCAAGACTTGAATGTACGTGCCACGGGGTACAGTTAAAACTCCTAGTGTGTGGGCAAGAATGTGGCATGTGCAGTCAAGTCTGTTGCTAGCGTGCACAGTTAAAACTGCGCGGGGAAAACTCAGTGTGTGTGGAGACAAGTCGCTGCACGCTTGAGTTTTAACTCATTAGCGTCGTATTTTTAAATGACGTCTGACTTATTTTACAATTGTTTTTTTTATATAATACAAATGCACGCCACTGTAATAACTTACGACAAGCCTGCACACTTTTGATTGCGCAATCTTCCTTCCGTGTGTGTGTGCAATTAGAGAGTACGGGTTTAACTTACGACAAGCGTGCACACTTTTAACTGCACAGTCTTCCCTCTGTGTGTGTGGCCGGCTTTATGTATAAAATTCTCGCGTCACAGTGTTTGTAACCGAACTTCTCCGAAATGGGTTGACCGATTTGTATGAAATTTTTTATGTATATTCGGTAGGTCTGAGAATAGGTTGTAAACTATTTTTTAAACCCCTAAGTGATAAGGGTGGCCCACCCTAAAAAATGTTTGTCTATTTTTTGGACAAAATTTTTTATTTTTATTTTTTTAAGAATTGGCATCAAAAAATACACATAACCCTAAATTTTCACCTTTCTACCACCAACCTCCATTTTTTAATCGTTTATATAATAAAAATCAATTGCTGTTCCTGTTAGTCTCGCTAAGACTCAAAAACGGCTTGATCGATTTGAAGAATTTTTTATATTACGGGGATGGTTTATAAATAAAAAAAAATAAGGAAAACTTAAAAGAACAGTTAAAAAATAAAAAAATTCTAAAAATTTTGTATGGGAATCGCCACATCAAATTAATTTCAATAGTTGGCGTTTCTGACGGACCTGTCGTCTAACTGACGTATCATACAAAACTAATTCTTCCGTGCAATTGTGAAAAGTATATTGCATTTCAAATCGCTCATTGTTTTTTCGTAAAAAAAAACGTCGTTTATTTTAAGAAAAGTCTTGGTTAAAGTGAATTTAATTACACATTGCGAAAGTTTCTTATTAATTTTGATCTGCCATTCTAAATAGAACTTACTATAGGTAAATACCTATATTCACTTTGTTGGTTTCGACAAAACCTCAAACTTTACCGTTATTCGAGGATTTAATTTGAAGTTTTCAATATTTTAAAATTCTCAAGACAAAATGTACAGATTTAACTGACTGTAAAAATAATTGTGTCGTTTGATGAAGTTCATTAAAATGCTGAGGAGACGACAACCTCACATAGGTCCACGAAGTCAATCAAATGTGCGACGAACTACCTCAGGTGCAAACCGCAATGATTTATTTCATGGGTAATTCGGATATGGAAGTTGATCAGCGTTGTGCTCATAATCAACATAATCAAACATTGAAGCGAGACATTGGGTGGTATGAATAAAACTGAGTAGAAACTAATATTCAAAGTACGAAGTACCTACTTCATTATTACTCTTATATACCTGAGCATCTACTCTATGTACTGAGTACCTACTTGGAAACATTGTATCTCCCCGGACACAAATTGAACATCTACCTACGCGTTTTGTGAGCATTTAATCTAAAAATGAGCATCGGTGGTGGCAAATGACTGAGCCGTCTGGAAAGCAGCTTAGAAAACGAGTAGGATCGTTGTAAGAGTGAATTTTGACTAAACATGGCGACTTTCATGAACGTGGAACGTCGTCAAAAGGTGCATTCAGTTTGAAAAACACATTAGGAGCAGGAATATCGAAAACTTTTCAGGTAATTAACTTTTATTTATGCATAAATTGTGCAGTGCATTTTTTATAACACTGGCCATAGAGATTCCCATCTCAAGGTGTCTACCCCATACTAACTTATATTTTGGTGACTCGATTTTTGCTTTGATGGTTGAACACTGTCACTGTCACTTTTTTGTTGTATCGAGATGCTACGTGAGCATCAACTGTTACCTACTGAAGTATTAATATTATCTAGAAAAACTAGAAATATTTTGATTTGATATTCGAGTAGATACTTCGTATTTCGAGGATGAGCATCTACTGAGTTTTATTTATATCAACCATTGTCAAAAAATTGTTCGAACGTTGTTTCGACAGAACTTCCTTCGCACCAAAAGTATAATGAAATATATTCAGCATTTTCGAGTTGAGTCTTTTCTTCACACAACTTTGTGATGACCTAATCAACATTTACGATTAACACGTATACCACCTTGGATTGGTGCAGTGTAATACTAAAAATAACTGTATTGTATTCCCAAAATTATCTGCGAAAATCGAGTGACCCATTCCACCAATTTTTTGGGGGCAATAAATAAATATTCTTAACAATTTACCACGCTTACAATAACTTTAAAACGTCTGCAAGATCTCAAAGTATTCATTTTTGCAACTCTTGAGTTATTCACTAAAATAAATTGACTGATCCATATATTTTTTTGAGTCACTGTAAAAGCAAATCTAAAAAATATGAATGCAATGATAAATTATGAAAATATACTGATGATATTTTCCACATTTTAGATAGGATTTATTCGGCAAAATCTTGAGATGACGTCTTTAAGTTTTTGGGCTTGATAAACAGATATATTTTGATTGAAAACCTACCATGTCAAACAGTAACTTCAAAACCTCTGCAATATTTCAAAATTCAGTTTTGCAATTCTTGATTCAATCAATAAAATAAATTGTCTCAGTGATTAATTTTTTTGAGACACCCCCTATAAGCAAAACTAAAAAATATGAATGAAATGATAAATCACAAATATCGTCTCATCCTATTTTGGGCATTTTAGATAGGATTCATTTGGCAAAATTTTGGGCTGGCGTCATCAATTTTTTGGAGGGGATAAGTAAATATATTTTGAATAAAAATTTATTATGCTTAACATATGTTTAAAACATCTGCAAGATTTCAAAGCATTCGATTTTGCAGATTCAAAATTAAATTGTAGGTGAAACGAAGTTCACGGGGTCAGCTAGTTCGTAATAAACATGGTAAAGTGCTAACGA